TATGTTCCATGATCACCATCTCTATGCGCAACCATACCTTATAACCATAAGTGATCTAGGGATTTTATCTTAAGTGCAATTATAAGATAAATGCTTTCTCTTAAGATAAAGAAATGCCTTATTCATAATATAATTCCAATAGACTGTATTTACAAGTAGAATACGTCCAATTAGATTGGAACGCCGGGTACCCTACTCTAACAAACCAGTCGTCGGGAAAATAAATCGCCGGCTCCGGCGAAGGTGACCGACCGTGCGTGCGCCTCGTCGAGGCGGTCTTGATGGTGCCCTCGGTTAGGGGTGATTCGCCGGGAATCGCCGGAAATTTGAAGAAGATGCCCGGATTTAACCAAAAATTTCTTAGATCCAAAAATATAGACCGGCAAAATTGACGGCCTTCCGCTTTGAATTTTCTCTTGATATTTTAAGGATAGAACGAGCGCGAGGAGAGCTTCCCAATGACATAAGAATTTTTCCGATCGGACAACTTTTGGCGGCGACAGTGGCGGCCGACGTAGATTGGTAACTGAAGATTCGTCTCGCCGAGAGGATTTCAGTGGTACCCTCGGATTTTTCATAGCCCTCTCGGATCGTCAGAAAAATGCATTTGAATGTACGATTTTGACCAATTTTTTGCTAGATCTGGGAACTTTGACCGCCAAATCGATGGCCTTCCAGGAAGAATTTTTGCATGAAATTTTATGGGGAGATTCACCTCGAGGAGATCTACCCGACAATGCCCACCATTTTCCGATCGGAGCACGTTTTCCGGCAGCCGGCGGCGGAGGTGGCGGCCGGCGGTGGTGACAGTGGGGGCGACCGGTGGAGATGAAGGAGATTGTTGGAAAATTTTTCAGAATTTTTTTATCAAAACTCCGTTTGGCTTTTCGAACGGTTCCCATAGACGGCGCCAATGAAGTGAATAAGATTTCACCCAGGCTCCTTCAACTCGAATGGCCACCGTACCTGCAAGAACCCAACGCCGGGAAGGGTCCCAGCGTCGGGCCTCCGACGCTCAAGTCAGTATCACTCTAAATCCCAAGAGTATAATTATAAATGTAGAGAGAGTGAGAGAATGAGATACCTTAGACCCCTTTTATAGGGAAAGTGTACCTTATGGCCTAAGTTGGGCTTGTCCAATAGCATCATGCCACGTGTCCTAGCCATGTGTAGGCTTATTCTTCAATACATTCCTTTTTTTTTCTATTAAACCCGGTCTAGTATAATATCCTATATCACTCGGGAATTGCGTCTGTGCCGTGTCAATTCTCAATTTTGTCGGATGACAACTCTGTAAGTTTCGTTTCAACGATCCGTACCCGTCGCCTTTTTTGAAATGGTACCTCTTCTTGTCGTTGATCGGGCAGTAGTTGCAAACATCATAAAAGTGATTCTCACCTCTTTCCGGATTGGCCACCTTCGTGTAATGTTGTTTGAATATGGCAGATCCCGGTCTGCCACGGGCGAAGACAGAGGCTAGGTCCGGGTCCAGCTGCTCCTGCTGCGTCGGTTGCTGAAAATCCGGCAGGGACTCTCCAAATATATCATCGAAATGGTCATGATACGGCTGCTGCTGCTCTTGTTGCTGAGGATGAATTGAGCCAAACATGCGGTCGATCATCGCCTCATCAATGTCATCGGCGACACCGAGAACATCCACATGTATTGATGGACTCGCAAATTCCGGCAATGGAGGTCTCGAGGAAGACGTGCCGGTGCCGATATTTCTACGTTTCTGTCCGGAATTCGAACTACGACCACCAGAGAGCTCGACATTTTTTAATTTAAAGAATAAAAAATAAATTAGGGAAAATTAATTTAGAATTTGATGAAATAAAAGATAATGGGGAGATGTAGTATTTTTTTTTTATTTTTTTTTTTGGATTTTTTTTT